TGACTGGGTAGACGTGGCCAATTGAGGTCATTCACATCAAGGGGCGCCTTGCCAGCCCCTACTCACCCCTCCCCTCCCAGCCACCCCAGCCTGCCCGCCCGGGCTCCTTATGGCCCCAACAGGAAGAAGTTGTTGGAGCTAAACAGCCACCATGAGAAAGAGTTGGCAAAACAGCTGGCTCAGTTCCAATTTTATCTGTCCGAGAAGGAGTCTCCGCAGAAGAACCTCACTGAGGACTAGGAGCATAGGCTTTCCAAGCAGAGGGAAGACCTGCAGGAGTGCAAGGCCAGGTACCGGCCCCCCGGAGGCTCAGCGGGCTGAGATGGTCAGCTAGTTCCAGGCCATAATGCAGTCCCACTGGAACAAGGCCTCCAGCTCTTCTCCACCAGTGGCGCTTCCCTCCAGCCTTCGCCCAAAGCCCCCCACCAGGAGGCTGAAGCAGACCCCAAGTCAGAATTTCTGCCCCCCTCTGACCCTCACAAAAAGACCCCCAAAAGGGGAGACACTCTGCAGCAACACAAGCATTCATTCCAAGTAGTTTGAGGACTCCTGATTTTAGTGTAAAATAAAAAATGCAAATTATTTTTCTGCGGACCCCAAAATTTTCTCACGGACCACCAGTTGATGACCAGCAGCTAAGGCACCAGGTTAGAAACTGAGGTACCATGAATTCTACTCCAACCTTAGACATGAAATTCAGGCTGGGTGAGCCAATCACCAGAAGACGGTGAGTTCTAGTCCCACCTTAGCCATATACCGCATTTTTTAGAGTATAAGACACACCTTTCCCCCCCAAAAGAGAGGGTGAAAATCTGGGTATGTCTTGTACACTGAATACAGCACTTTTGGCCTCTCAAAACCCCGTCCCCTTGACAAAAATGGACATGCAGAGGATTTGGGAGGCCTGCAAAGTGCTACTGGGGGCAGGAGAGGGCAAAAACGAGTGAAAAACGGGCTGTTTTTTGCTAGTTTTTGCCCCCCTCCCTCCAGCCCCCAGGAGCACATTGTAGGCCTCTAAAACTCTCTGCGTGCCCCATTTTTCACAAAAAACCAGGCGTGCAGAGGGTTTGGGAGGTCTGCAGAGTGCAAAAACTTTCTTTTTTAGTTTACCTCGGCAAAATCTTGGTGCATCTTATGCTCCGAAAAACACGTTAAGTCAGCTGGGTGACTTGGGGCCAAAGACCAGGAGATGCTGAGTTTTAGTCTTGCCTTAGCCATGTTAAGTCGGCTGAGTGACTTTGGGCCAAACATCAGGAGATGGTGAGTTCTAGTCCTGCCTTAGACAGAAAAGCTGCCTGGGTGACTTTGAGCCAGTCCCTCTCTCTCTCAGCCAAACTCACCTAACAGGGTTGCCGTTGTGGGGAAATAGGAGGGTGAAAGTGTGTTGGACATGCTCATCATTTTGAGTGAGCCAAGAGCCGAGGTGGCGCAGTGGTTAAATGCAGCACTGCAGGCTATTTCAGCTGACCGCAGTTCTGCAGTTCAGCTGTTCAAATCTCACCAGCTCAGGGTTGACTCAAGCCTTCCATCCTTCCGAGGTGGGTAAAATGAGGACCCGGATTGTTGTTGGGGGCAATATGCTGACTCTGTAAACCGCTTAGAGAGGGCTGAAAGCCCTATGAAGCGGTATATAAGTCTAACTGCTATTGCTATAGTTATTTGTAAAGAAATAATCAAGGTGGGATACAGACAAACAAATAAACAAATCCTGTTGAAAAGTTTGGAACATGGCAGGATGCAGTAAAAGACACGGATACATCCCCTGGAACAGGGGTTGGCAACCTTAAACACTCAAAAGAGCCACAAAGGTCCTAACTGGAAGTCCCGCCCCCCCTTTCAATTCTGGAGCTGACCGGAAATCCAGTTCCCCCACCATAGAGTCTCCTCCTAGCACGGCATCATTTTCCCTCTACCTGTCCTAACCAAAAGGCCTATCAATTGTGGATTCGACTGGCAACAGGGAGCCACAGCAGAGGGATGAAAGAGCCACATGCGGCTCCGAGCCGCAAGTTGCTGACACCTGCCTCGGAAGAATGTCCAGACCTAGCTAAGAGGTCTGGAGTATCTATAAACAGCAATAAATATCCTGTGGCTTATTATCTTAAGTATAGGAGGGTGAAAGTGTGTTGGACATGACCAGGGGTGGGGAACGATGGCCCCTTTATGACTTGTGGACTTCAACTCCCAGAATCCCCATGCTGGCTCGGAATTCTGGGAGTTGAAGTCCACAAGTCATAAAAGAGCCATCGTTCCTCACCCCTGGTCTAGACCAACATTGTCTCCAATCCACAAGGGGCCACCACCAACTTTCAACGTGGAGCAACGCAAGTGGAAGAGAACCTCATCCACCTCAAGGTCTTCTGAGACAGACAATGGATGGGCACCCAGAAACAGGCGGCTATTGTACAGGTGGGCCAAAAGAAAAATCACGATAGCATCCTATGTCCTGAAATCATCATCATTATCTTCTTTTAAAACTCCCATAATCCCTTGCAGAATGGAGTCCGAGCAGCTGAATGGAGCTGACCGGATGCTCTTCCTGTCGCCAATGCGGAGTTTTGTTCGGCAGATATATTCTCATTGTGCCCAGAGAGAGAGAAATATCTGCCTCTATCTAAGATTGAACTCATAATCTCCTGATTGTGAGGCGAGAGCTCCCACTCTAGGCCACCACATCACAGCACTCCAACGTCCTGAAATCATGGTGGCCCATTTCAGGGCACTGAGATCTCGCAGGAAGCTTTTCTGTTCTTCCCCTTAAGCCCGCAAAGTGGCTTACCTTACAGCTGCTGTCGTTGTAACAGTACCATTTGTCATTTGGGTTTTTGGCATAGGTGACATAATGACCTCCTCCCATAATTCCTGAATGGCACTGGAAGAGAAGAGAGCCAAGACACCAAAGTTATCCACTGATTCAACTTCTCCATCCTTTTCGTTCCTTCTAGAGGAAAAGGGAATTAACCAGGTGCGATGGGGAGACCTGTCGGACCCGCAAGCCATCTTTTGCATTGGGCCTTCAGGCCTGCCACATTTCCTACTGTGGGAAAACGGGAGGGGGGGGGATTAATACAATGTAATACAATACAACAGCAGAGTTGGAAGGGACCTTGGAATGGGTCTTCTGTCCATCCATGCAATTTGTCAATCTAGCCGAGGTGGCGCAGTGGTTAAATGCAGCACTGCAGGCTACTGCTAGATCAGAAGTTCAGCGGTTCAAATCTCACCGGCTCAGGGTTGACTCAGCCTTCCATCCTTCCGAGGTGGGTAAAATGAGGACCCAGATTGTTGGGGGCAATA